CTCATGTTGTTCGTTTAGTTGATTTGCTTGATGAGGCCAAGGCTCGCAGTAAACCTGTCCTCTCTCTACGCAAGTAAGGACAATGAGTGGACTCCTCAAGAGCTGGACCAAACAGCCGAGGCAATTGGATATGGTGCTGTGAAGTAAATGTCTGATTTCTATACAGCTTATGCTTCCTTTGATGATACTACTTTTGTAGCTCAACTTTTTTTTCTCTAATTAAATGTTTGCTAAACTCTTTTGTTTAATCTTCTTTGAAGATATGCTGTTTTAAAGAACAAAATATCAAAAGATTATACCTTTAACGCCGATCAGATGCTTAATGACAAGTTCACTGAAACCATCTTAGATCTTAAGATCACAATGTAGCTTTGAGCTTAATGATAAAAGCTCATGAGCAGGGAGATACAGCTGTATACCTTCTCTGCGCTCATTGCTCGGATCTCTTCAAATCATCAGAAAGTTTAGCAAAGACATAGATTAGCTTAAGAATGTACATATCCTTTGCTGCAAAATCTCATATTTGCTTCTATGTTGTTCGTTCTCTTGAATCCTTATGTTTCAACATCTTCTCTGTTTTGTTTGTAGACAGGAATGCTAGTGTTGGATCACGCGGATGAACGAGCACTAGAACTTCACTTGCTACGATTGTCTACGATTTACATAACAATGTTGTGAACCATTTTGCAGTTGAGGAGACATGTACCAACTTGTTACCGAACGTTTTGTGCGAGTACCTCTACAAATTTATCAGAATACTACACCAAATTCTACTCAAAATTAGTTTCTTCTTGCATAATTAAACCATTAATGTTCTGTATCTTCACTTAAAAACAATCTTTCACTAAAACTTTTTTCAGGTTATTATTGGTTCAGAACAAGAGACTAGCAACTGCCATAGGAATCACTCCTCTTTACAAGCTTTGATACATACAACTAAACGAACCAAAGTCCGAAAAAACTAAATATTTTATACAAGTCTAATCTTAACTTTTCTACAAACTTAAGATTAAGATCTTTTTTTTTATTTTTCTCGTTATGTTACTGAAACGATTCTGGTGAATCGCAAAAAAAAGGGGTTAAAGAAAAATCTAATATTTCTCTAAGATCTTAATGCCTTCTTCTGGATAGACAAGAAGAGAGAGTAGAAGAAGGTGTTCTTGAGGTTTTCTTGGAGATTGTAGCTTTTGGACTATAAACACTTCTGTAGCTTTGATCTATGATTCCTCCAGTGCTTCTACATAACTTCCTTCTCCCTCCATAATTCCTGTTTTTAAATCCTCTCTTCATAAGATCTTCAAGGCTTTTAACATTTGCTAGTGATGTAAATGATTGAGATTTTCCTTCATAAAACTTTGACAATCCCCTCCTGAGATAATTAACACAAAAAAACTTTAGTTATTACCAGAAAACATAAAAAAAAACGTTGAGATCTTGAGAAAAGATTCAAGAAATGTTTTTTTTCTTACTTGATAGGGAGATGAGACATGAGGTCAGAGAGATCTTCAAGAGGTCCATTTGAAGAAGATGAAGAAGCATCATCATCCTCTGTTAAATCAGAGGAAGAACACATAGAAGATAATGAACAAGATGATGAATCTTCTTCTTCCTCAGAGAATCTTGAAACACCTTCAACAATGTCTTCTTCTTCTTGGATCCTACTTGGATCTTGATAGATCATGTTACCCATTTGC